GTTAGAAAGTGTCTGATATTGTATTGTCTGTTAGGTTTAGTATTAATTATTAAACTTCTGTAAAAGTAGGCACCATCATGTCTATAATTTATGCTATTTTTGAAGTTGTACCACTGCAAAGTAATAATACCACTGTACTATTAATAACAAATTTGAGCTGATTTGTTAAACTATTTGATAGTCTTCCAAATGAAATAAGGAAATAAAATTGATATAAGCCAGGATACTTAAGTGTTTATTCAAATCAAATTAATATCAGTTTATGAACCCCTGTCTTGGAAATAATGTGATCTAATTAATCATATCTCATCTTATTTGCAGTATTTTAATTCAATATAATTATTGTACACACATGCCTATTATTATTTATATACCGTAAACCTTGAATAGAAGCCCATCTCGAAAAGAGGCCCCCTCTTAAGTTTGCATAATTAATCTCGAAAGAAGCCCATGGGCTAAGCTAATAATCAAGATAATATGGGCTTACATTCAGACTGACGTTTTCTTTGATTATTATGATAGCGTGTCACTATCAATTATTATTTTATTGTACTAGTATGGTTAAAATTTAGAAAATATTAAACAAAATTTTGAATTCCATAGTTGAAAAATGTTGTATAGTAGAAATTCCAAAATTTACACATTGACTTAGAAAAGAAGTCCTCCTCTTTAGTTTGCAAAAATAATCTCGAAAAGAAGCCCATCTTGAAAAGAAGTCCATCATAGGGTCTTAAAAAACAGAAGCGGAGGGATTTTATTTGGGGTTTTACGGTATTTTTGAATAATTTACATTGTAGATATTCTTTCTGTACGTTTGTTTAGATCATGAGTACAATGCTTTAATGTTATTTTAATTTCTATTAGTAACCTGTTTATTTTTTTTTTAAAAACAAACATAGGCCATTTGGGAGACACTTTTTGTATTAAAAAGTATCCAGTTAAAAGAATGAGCTAATGGAGGGACAAATAAATAAAAAAATAGATGAAGGGACAAATGAAAAAGAAACTATAAGAAGTAAAATGATGTAAACCGTCAGAGATTAATTGTATTAGTAATGTTTAATTGTAACATTTAATTGAATTTCTTTTATTATTCTAATAGATATAAGAAGATGATTCCAAGCGCTGATCAGCTCACAGAAGAGATAAATTTGTTAGAAGCCACATTGACCAAACGCGAAAATAATGTTGTATTCACTCACAATGACCTTCTACTTGAAAATATTCTGTACGATGCAGAAAAAGGTAAGAATAGAGGATATGCAAAGGGTGGG